GATAGTACCATGGCACTTTGTTTGAGGGACACCTTAAACAGTGAAATCACCAACAAACAGAAAAAAAAGTGGCACTAAATAGACCACAAAAGTACACTTGTGTACAGTATGAGAGCCAAACAAGAAGTGGAGTGTGACCTGGTTTAACCTCAGCCAGGAACGTGTGTAGTGGGTGTGTACTCAAATTTTTTGTTTCTCTGGGCATGTCTGTGAATGATCACAAAAGCATCATGAGTACTAATTTCAGGGTTACAACTAAATTTTAACAAGTAAGCTAATTTTGAAGTATGGAATCCATGAGGAATTTCTTTGCATTATTGAGAAGAAAAAATATGCTTATTTCTGCAAAGTATCTGAAAAATTCATAGAAAAGATGTCAACATAAAATGTTAAACATAAGTGAGAGGTTGGGATAGTACGCAGAGAAAAATTATTTGTCATGAAGGAAGAATTAAATGTCTAGTAAGACATATTATAAAAGCACAGCAATTGGCAAAAGGACTCTGGTTTAGAATAGGCAAGTGGCCCAGTAGAAAAAGGTATAATAAACATCCTAGAAGCAGATTCACACACGTAGGAGGAGCCTAGTTTAATAGAGAGTGGTATTAGAAAAAAGAGGAGATTATTTAATCAATAGCATTTGGAAAATTGACTTATGTGGATAATTTAGATCCCTTAATTCACACAAAAAGGCCAAGTGAAATAAATATTTTGTTATGGAAATAAAGATAAAGAAGAGAAAATATAATGCAAAGCAAGTAGAAGGAAAACATAATCAAGATAAAAATGGCAATAAATTAAATAGAAAACAAAAAACAATAGCCCAGGCATGGCGGCTCATGCCTGTAATCCCAGGAATTTGGGAGACCAAGGCAGGAGGATCACTTGAAGCCAGCAGTTTGAAACCAGCCTGGGCAACATAGTGAGACCCCATCTCTACCCAAAACAAACTAGAGAGAGAGAGAGAAAATTGAACCTAAATCTGGGTACTTTGGAAAGATTGGTAAAATGAATAAACCTAAAAGAGGGCTGATCAAGTAAAAATGAGATAATAATCAGTAACAGCAAAGAGAGAAGGGACATCACTACAGATCAGTCTGGCAAGAAAAGGACGATAGAGGTATATTGTGGAAAATTTCATGTGGAACTTACTACTGAGTGAATAAGCTTACACTAAGTGAATAAAGTAGAATATGACTAAGTTTTTGAGAAAATCACATTACCAAAGAAATCACAGTCCCTTCTTATCTAGGGCCTTTGTCCCTTGAAGCAAACTCTTAACTTCTCATGTTCACATCAGGGGGAAGTAAGCTGTAAAAATGGTGACTCTCCAAGAAGGGAACATTCTCCAACAGCTACTTTAACTGTGCACACAGAAAATAATGGTGGGAACAACCCAGATGGCACAGTCTGGGCCCATAGACGACAACAGATACCAAATTCCTCTCAGTAAGCCAACTGAGGGTCTAAGGAAACCAGCTGCTCTACTTCCAGCTCAGGGAGCTTCACAGTCACTGCCTGGCAGGACCTGGTTATCCCTGTGGACCACTCACTGCTGCCTCCTGCTATTGCAATTTTCCCCTCTGCGCAAGTGAGTTTATATTGCAATTATTTTATTCCTATTCCACTATGAATTGTGTGTGTGGAGGGTGGCAGACAACTGGAAGATCAGAAGGATGGCCATCTCGTCTTGGACACTGTAATTGTATGGCGTACCTACAGTGACTCCTTGGGGAGAGGGTAAACAAGTTCTATGTAAAAAGAGCTCATGAATATTTGAGTGGCAGAAAGGTGATCTATGGTAGAAATAGTTTGTTTACCAGCATCAATCCTTCCTTTCGCTGCATTCTTGAGCTCCTAACATTTAGCTAGGCATGAACTATAAGAACTTTTGTATCCTCCCTTGCAGTGAGGTACAGCCACATGGGTCAGTTTCACTACTGGCAGGTGGCAAATGATGTCTGTCACTTCTGGGTCGTATCCTTCAAAGAAATGTGTGTGTGTGTGTGTGTATAACAGGCACTTCTCTTACCTTTCTCTTTTCCCACATCACACATGTGCTGGTGAGAGTCCAAGCAACCACATGGGACCAAAGATGAAAGAGAGATGTTGAGAATGCCAGAGCTGCCCTATTTGTCCAGTTCCACCAATCTTTGAGCTACTAAGTAAAAGAAACGAACTTCAGTTCTTTTTTAAACTAAACTATTTGGGGGAGTTTATTTGTTATGGCAGCTAAGACTAAAAGTAGGATAATAATGCATCAATAAAAAATGAGATAGTGCCAGAACTAACGATTTTCTTCGGGTAGGAATAAAGACCGTGTCAAACACTTCTTGTGTTGGCGGTGTGCCGGGATGAGCTGAGGAGCTCCAAGGGCACGCTTGACAGACAGCAGGTTAGTCATTCTGGATGTGCTTTGATATGGTTTTCTTTGGTTATACTGAGCTAATCAGCAAGGTTTTATCTGGATAAGAGGGGTTAAGTATCCCTGAAGAGGCTAAAGAGGATTTCTGGGGGAGGAAGGAAGGAAACAGGAGGAATCATTAGGGGTGAAAGGTTAAGAGTGCAGTTAACATATTTTATTTTAAAAGTATGTGTAAAGTTATCCTGACTCCATCTCTTCATTAAATTTTCGTAAATCAACACTATTTATGCTTTTGGAGTTGGACTTAATTTTTTATTTTTTTAGAGGGAAAAAGAACAGGCTGAACTTAACCCCAAGGGGGCAGCAGAAGCCCAGGGAGGTTATGGTACATTAAATCCTAATAGGAAATAGAGAGAGAGAGAACCAGAGCCCTGAATTATTAAACGTGTTTCCATCAAAGCAGGGAGAGGAAAAAAGGCTAAAGAAAGAAGACTGAAGCCAGGCTAAATATTTATTTTCAACTAATGATAGGCATTTTGTTATGTATTAATTTTACCTTTTTGTGTTATTGAATTGTCTGTGGCGAAAGGTAAAATTTCGTTGCTTGAGTTATAAAAAGCTTCAACTTTAAAATCTTGATTATGAAGGAACTGGAGTTGTAAATCAAGGAATATTTAATACCAGAGATTACCTAATTTGGGCCACCTACTAAATAAGTTTTCTGATAATATGTTGTGGCTCTGAAAAGTTCAAGAAACGAAAGGTATCAAGTGTATAATCTTACAAAGTTACTTTTAAAACCTAGGGTCCAGAAACTTGATTTTTCCAAAAGCCATCCCTATAACAAATGTTACCTACCCACACAGGGTAGTTCACACTGAACAGTGGAGTAAGATTATCCATTGAACAGCTGAACCTGAATTCATGTTATACCACTTGTCCATTGCACAAGATGCCCTCCTGGGTGGACAGAGATGCACTGCCCAGATCCCCCTTTAAGGAAGGACCAATTGCCCCATGTGTCAGCAGTTGGCTTCCAGCTGACCAACCTGTCAGGCTCTGCCTCAGTTGTCCTTGGGCTTGTCCTCACTAGGGTGGCCCACGTCCAAAGAGAGACATAAGTGGGGCTGGAGCGTCTGTAAGTGGGATTGGTGGAGGCTTTGTCAGCCTGGTGTTGTAGTCCCACCTCCCTCTCTGTGCCACCCTGCTTCCTCCCACTTGCTTCCTGGTACTGGCCCCTGTAAAGACGCTGCATGCCAAGCTCTATCTTAGTGTTTGTTCCCAGAGAACCCAACTTGGTTGAATTGGGTGCCAAGAATGATCCTAGAAAGTCTGCAAAAAGATGGGACACTCTGCCACTCGGCTGACAATGAGGACCTTTGCTTCTTCATCTAGAGAGTTAAGGTAATCTGGTACCCAAGCTAAACAAAATCTCCTTTTAAATTTTATCTCACCATTGTAGCCACACTAGCTAGAAAGTTGCCTTTGGCAGTTCTGTAGAAACTTCCTGACATAGTGAACGGTCTTTCTCAGTGACTGGCTGGCTCTCCATCTTTGGAGCAAACCAGATTTGACACCAAGCCAGTCTCTGAACCCAGCAAGCTTCAACATGCCATGAAAAGCATTTTTTGTTTATTTATTTTTCAGCTGATTATAGGCTTTGCGCTGTTTTGTTTTTATTTATTTATGTTTCTATTCATGCATTTACCCCTGGAAACAATTCAGCAGAAAGAAAAATGTTTGCCTTACTGTATTTTACCCACAGTATATGGACAAGGAAAGGAACCATCTTATTTAGTACTTTCTAGATGACTCATTAACGAGTTTTCAGATGAATAAAATGAATGCCATCAGAGCAGAAATAGTGGCTATTGTTACTCACGCAAATAAACAAATTGCAAGTTAGCTCCTGGCTTTGTCAGACCTTCCTTCAGCAAAAGCACATAGAAGGAACCAAAAGGTGCGACTAAATTTAAAGTACTTGAAAGGATTTTTCCAAACCAACATGCCCTGACCTTGAAACCCCCAAACATCTTCACATTTCTAATCTACATTAACCACCGTGAGGGGTTGAGGTAAAGAAAGGAAACTTCTCACTCCCTGAAAATGGCCAGAAAACAGCCTTCTTTAAAGTCGAGAGACAGTGTAATGAGTTAAATAGTGGTCCCCAAAAGATAAATTGATGTCCTAATCTCTGGCACCTGTGAATGTGACCTAGTTTGCCAAAAGGGTCTTCGCGGATGTAATTAAATTAAGGATCTTGAGATGAAGTTCACCTCATCTAATCATCTCATCTCACCCTAAATCCAGTGACTCTTGTCCTGTAGGAGAAAAGAGAGGGAGACCTGAGACCCAGAGACCCAGGGGAAGGTGGCATGAGAACTGAGGCCGAGATGGCACTGGCCTGTCTGCAAGTCAAGGAACAAAAAATTGCCAGCAGCCACCTGAAGTTAGGAAAACAATGAATAAATTCTCCCCCAGATCTTCCAGAAGAAGCCAACCCTGCTGACACCTTGATTTTGGACTTCTGGCTTCCAAAACTGTGAGAGAATCAATTTCTGTTGTTTTAAAATACCCAGTCCGTGGTGATACGTTACAACAGCCCTGGGAACTAACACAGTGAGTTGCTACTTACTTCCATAGTGCCACGGGCTCCCCAGGGGTTGAGCTGAGCTTTGATTTCGAGTAGAGCCAAGTATACTTTGCAGGGCCTGCGTGTTAATGTAGCAGGGGTCGTCGAAGAGATCCGCTCGACACGTAGTGTGCTTCACTGATGAGGCGTCTCGCTGGGCCTGCACCCCTCTCTCATGGGCATTACCTGCAGTGATTAGTAGTGATCGATGCGTCATGTCTTTGCTTTGTAAATAGTAACTAAAATAACGTTGGAGATTAGAATTGACAGGTAGCTAAAAGGCATGCCCACTCTATATAAGAATTGAACATCAACTTCCAGGTTTTACCTATAAAATCAAGATAATCACCACTCTGAGGGAAAGCCACCATCTCATTGAGCTCCCCATCCCTCAGCTAACCCACTGCTTCAACAGTAGGTAGGAAAAGCAGCAACATCCAGAAGAAGAAATGTCCATGGAAGCAAAAGGGACTGACTGTCTCAGCAAACAGCAGGAACCTGCACCCAGCACTGCTCAAAGGGGTAGCCAGGAATCGGGGAAATACCCATATCATATTGAACTTGAGTATCTATTGTTAAACTCCTTTTCAAAAAAACCAATTAATTAATTTAGAAGTCTTACTTCCTGTGGATTAAATTCATTTAGAAATGAATGAATAAATTAAATTAAATTAAATTCTTAAGTATGAAAAGTCTGGCTTCTCTGTGCCCCAAATTTTCCCTTGCCCAGTTCAGCTTTACACTGATTACTGATGTTTAATTCAGTTATTCAATAGGCACAATTCAACCCTCAGGTTACTTCCTCCTCCTCTCTTAATCTATTCTCTCCCTATCTATTCTATTCTAAGTATTTGGTCAAAATGATCTTTTCAAAACTGCAAATCAGGAGCCAGGTGCAGTGGTTCACACCTGTAATTCTAGCACTAGGTGGGGCCAAGACTTGAGTATTAATTGAGTTCAGCAGCTTGAGACCATCCTGAGCAAGAGTGAGTCTTCCTCTCTACTAACACCAGAAACATTAGCCGGGTGTGGTGGCAGGCACCTATAGTCCCAACTACTCAGGCTGAGGCAGGAGGATTGCTTGAACCCAGGAGACTGAGGTTGCTGTGAGATAGGCTTATGCCATGGCACTCTAGCCTGGGCAAAAGAGTGAGACTCCCTCTCCACAGCACCCCCACAAATCTGATCCTATTTCTCAGAGGTTTAACAACCTTTCAATGGTCTCCCACACTGCAGGCCCTGCTCTGTTTACTGAAGAGTTTCCTTCTACTCTCTCTCCTCCCCAGTCTCTGCCTAGGGTCACCTTGGCCTTCTTGCTGTATGATGTCCACCAAAAAGCCATCTCCTCTGATTGACATGCGTTTCCCTCCCCCTTTCCATCACTCTCATCCTTCAGATGTCAGTTGAAACGTCTCTTTCTTCAGGAGAGCCTTCCTCGACCTTCCAGAATAAATTAGGCCTTTCTGCTTTCCTAGCAGTTTGCACTTAACCTTCGAAACCCTTATCACAAGAGTATTGAATCCTATCATTTATGTTATTTTTATTTAGTATCTATAATGCATCTAGACTGCATCTTCCATGCAGGCAGGGATCCTATCTGCCTTGCTCTCAATGGCAACCACTGTACACGCCTGGCACATGATACTAGGACATCAACAAATAGTGACTGAATGCACCATAGTTCACTACACAATAGCATGAAGCACTCTCTGTACCTTCCAAGGGTTCTGTCCTAAAGTGCCAGGATAGAATAGTTTTGCTTTACTGTTTAAACAAGTACGTTTATAGTTTTAGCTACCGGATCACCATGAGGCTGCACGGGAAGTGGTGGCCTCCGTTGCCTTACTGAGCAAGAACACTTCTCCAGTCCTTCTGCTTCAGTCATTAAACTGCCCTGATGTGGTCCAAGAATTGAATTTCACAGCGTGGTGAACTGGCAGGATAGAGACCTAAGTGTTCACCAAGTAGGGGGAGCCTGTTAGACCACCACCTGCTCCTCCTTTAGTTCTTGTCTGTATGTCAGCTGTTGTGCGTCAGCCCGCCTGTGTGTCACACTCCATATGTGGGGTTTACTGAAAGGGGACTCCTTGCTACAGAGGGAGGGTTGACAGGATGCTTTGTTTGGGGCATTTAGCAACATATAAGCCAGTTTCCATTTGCTTAGTTAAGTGGATTTATAAGTTGCATTATCTAGTTTAAACTAAACTTACTTTCACAAATGGAGAGTGGCTGAAAAATCCCTGCAGAGAAACTAAAGGTTGAAGATAATCCTTTTACCCCGAGTAAAAAAAACTCCTCCTTAGCTGCATTAAGGGCTTATAAACAAGGATGACCTAATCCAATCAGAGCTTGGGGACCCCTAAAAGTAAAAACTGTCAAGATTTAAATCTAGGTTTACATCTATTTTGTCAATAAATGCTCTAAATGTATACTAGGCCTTGAGATATGATCTAATTCAGCTGTTGTAATTACTAAGACTTTAAAAAATATTTATTCACTACCAACTCTAACTTTAAAATTTCTACATTTGTGTTTTATAAATGCATAATATATTAGTATTGTACTTATATGTAACTTACATATGATTGACCAATCATTTATTTAGGAGAGGCTGCTCTTAAAAAATGTACTGAAGATGTGCGTGGCGTCTGTGGTTCAAAGGAGTAGGGCGCCAGCCCCATTTGCTGGAGGTGGTGGGTTCAAACCCATCCCCGGCCAAAAAAAAAACTTCAAAAAAAAAAATGTACTGAAGATGCAACATGATCAAAAATGGTTGCAAATGGCTAAAAGGTCAGCTACTCACATGGATGTGAGTTCAAACTCCTGTGGTCTCTTAGTATCTCTGTGGTCTGGGGCAAGTTAATTAACTTCTCTAAGACTCAGTTTTCACATCTGTAAAATGTGGATGCTTCGATTAAAATACAATTGTGAGAATTAAGTGAAATAATGTTGAGGGCCTGCCTTTAGTTGACATTTAGTATATTATTCTCACTGGTGCTCAGTTGTTTATTTACACATGATACTTTTCTTTGACTGAAATACCCACCTCTTCTTTTCTTGGCCGAACTCCTATTTGTCTTTGAAGATTCTGCTCTGAAACCATCTCCTTCAGGAAGCCTTCCCCTGATTCCCTCCCTCCTGGCTGGGGAAGGTACCAGTCCACCATCAACTGTAAGTGTATGTTTACTTGTTTGCCTGCCCCCTTGAGTCCTTGAGAAGAGACTCTAACCCACTTATCTGCCTAGCTTCTGCATCTTTAGTGTGTTGCATGAAGCAGGTGTTCAAAAGAAAAACATTTGTTAGCTGAACGAACAAAGGACTGCCTATCTACCCAGTTTTCTTTCCTAGTGTATTTGACCCCACCATGTTCTGAAGACTAAATTAACACTTATCACAGGACATGACTCAGCTGCCCTTCACAAAGCATTAAGCTGAATCGATGCTTGATTCACATCAAGAGCGTCCTCCCACAGGATTACTACACACAAGCTTTGGGGTCTATCCCAGTCTCTCTCGAAAACTGACATTGCTTTTTTTCAAATGCAGACAGTCCACCCCATACCCAAATTTGAAATCATTCCAGGCTAAAGTGTCTGGTTGATGCGATCTTAGCCACATTTCCCAGGCATGATGTCTTCCAAAAATGCTTTGAGCTAAGTATTACTCTGAGAATCTATCCAACCTGCCTAAGAAAAAAACTGTCAGAAAATAAATATATAAAGTGTGTAGATACTGTAAGTAACAAAGTTTTTAAGCACAAGCCCTTAGGGTTTAGGGAAATTTAAAGTTTTTTTGATTAAAAAAATCAACATTTCCATTTTAACTTGAAGGTCAGAGAAACATTATTCTATTTTGGTAACTATTTTTTTTTCCATAGGGAATTTAGAATGAAGGACAGGGTTATTTTCTATGTCTAGTGATAAATACAATTAACTCCTTCAACAACCAGAAGCCTATTTCAGTATTTATGATATACCAGAAATCAAGGTTTAAGTCAATATTTGAATAAATAAAGGTCTTTGGAGGAAAAAAGCCAAACTTGTAGGTGCCTCTCAAAAGCTTACATATGAATCTCTGATAAAGTCATACAAACTGTATTTGCTATTCTGGCAACTGTGAGTGATTTGCTCATTGGTCCAGAATTTCAGATCACTTTTAAGACAGAGCTATGCCCAAATAGTCATAGGAAGGTTCCAAGGTTCTAGGTATCTAAAGATAAAAAGAACATTGTAGGACAGCACCTGTGGCTCAAGGAGTAGGGTGCCGGCCCCATATGCTGGAGGTGATAGGTTCAAATCCGGCCTCAGCCAAAAAAAAAAAAAAGAACATTGTAGTAGGGAACTCCTGCTTGCCACAGTGGGAGGGTCTTACAGTGGCCCCAGAGGTGGGTTGACTCCTATCCCACCAAGGTGTTAATGGCTGAGGTTTGGGGAGATGGCTTCTGAGCTTTCTAGTTCCACTGGGGAACTCAGAATCTACTTCTTTATGGAAACAATGTTGTAACTCAGTGATTTACAGGAGGAGGAAAGTATCTAGATGGAGGACTTTTGTCAACTACAAATACCTGTAGCTCAGTGGTTAAGGTTCCGGCCACATACACTGAGGCTGGCGGGTTTGAACCCAACCCAGGCCTGCTAAACAACAATGACAACTGCAACAAAAACAATAAAAAAATAGTCGGGCATTGTGGTGGGCACCTGTAGTCCCAGCAACCTGGGAGGCTGAGGCAAGAGAATGGCTTAAGCCCAAGACTTTGAGGTTGCTGTGAGCTGTGACGCCACAGCACTCTGCCAAAGGTGAATAGTGAGACTCTGTCTCAAAAAATATATATATAATACAAACACCATTTCTTACCTCCCCAAGATTCTGAAAGGTTTTCAGTTACTCATTACCATAGAGCCACTTTTAAGAAAGGTAATAGGACACAGAATTTCCTACTGTTGTATTTTTTATTACAAATATACATTTGGGTTCCAGTTTAGGCAAACCAGAAGATGATATACTTGTCTAAGAGTTAACCATTACGACTAAAACTAATTCTATTAAAAAAAATAAGACTCAAACAAACTTTTATTACAAGTGTTTGGATCTGCTTATGGAGACTCAGGGTACATATAAAGTAAAGGATTACATTGTATAATGTTTTTGGTTTTTTTTTTTTTTTTTTTTGAGACAGAGCCTCAAGCTATCCCCCTGGGTAGAGTGCCGTGGCATTACAGCTCACAGCAACCTCCAACTCCTGGGCTCAAGCGAGTCTCCTGCCTCCACCTCCCAAGTAGCTGGGACCACAGGCGCCCGCCACAACGCCTGGCTATTTTTTGGTTGCAGCCGTCATTGTTGTTTGGCGGGTCCGGGCTCGGGATTCGAACCTGCCACCCTAGGTGTACGTGGCTGGTGCCCTAGCTGGTTGAGCTATAGGCGCCGAGCCCATTGTATAATGTTTTAAAGAAGAAGTAAAACCAAGAGAAGCAGAAACAATAAACTGAACTCTATGATGACTACATTCAAGAAAAATCTTGAATAAGGTTGAAATGATATCTCCTTATATCCACTAATTTCTCTATAAATTTATGCTTAGGGGGAGAGGTTGCTTTTAAAATATGTTTCAAAAGTAGAATGTGAATGTTTTAAAACAATGACTGAGAAAATGACATGAAGGCTGTGTTGACCAGTTTGATGGAAGTATTTCAGATTGCATGTGAAAACCCCACACTGTACCCCAGAAGTGCATTAAGGTACATAGTTACCATTCAATAAAAAAAAAATATGTTTCAAAAATCAAGTTGAGAGTTCTTGGGAAAGAAAGGAAGGGAAACCATGCCCCTTTCTTCATTAGTGACTTTGTGATTTAGCCCATTTAACACAATTCTAGAAATGTCAAGAATTTTCATGTAGTGAGTTCCCCTCAGAAGCTGGATGACTGAGGACAGAAGACACGGGTATAAAGACTGCTTAATGGGGGAACAAGAGATAAGCTGGAAAGGGAGGTATCTGGACAGGGCTGAAAATGCTAGAGCTCCTCGGGACTCTGTCATTGATTCAAGACTCCTCTTCCTCTCTTTGACCTACACTCTCTCTGTGCCCATGATCTGGGAACTGCTCCTGGCACATTTAGTTCTGGAGCCCATTTATTTTCTCTCTCTCCCCCTCTTTTTTTCTCCTCTCTCTCCCTCTCCCTCTGCTACCCTCCCTTCCTTCCTCACTTCACTCTTTGGGACTAGATAATTTCCACTCATCCCTCATGTCTCGGTTTGGGTGTCACTCCTTAGAGAAAGCCTCTACAGCCCTCCCATGCCCAGATTAACTTAGGTTTCCCTATTTGTTCTTGTAACATCTAGGGCTTTGAAACACTCATCACATTTGCAAGCATTTGTTTAAGGTGTAACTTTCTGGTTAAATTGCAAATTAAATGAGTGCCACCTGAGTCTCCACCCCTAGCACCTCGCATTGTGCCTGACCCATGGGAAGTTCTCAATAACCATTAAGTGAACTGTTAAATATATAAAGAATATATGGCCAGGTGTGGTGGCTCATGCCTATAATCCCAGCAGGATTATTCTGGGAGGCTGAGGCAGGTGGATTGATGAGCTAAGGGCTTTGAGGCCAGTCTGAGCAATAGCAAGACCCAATCTCTAACAATAGCCAAGTGTTATGGTGGGCACCTGTAGTCCCAGCTACTCGGGAGGCTGAGGCAAGAGAATCACTTGAGCCCAGGAGTTGGAGGTGTTGTGACCTGTGATGCCACAGCACTCTACCAGGGGCAACAAAGTGAGACTTTGTCTCAAAAACTAAACTAAAATAAAATAAATGAAGAATGCATGAATGAGATAAAAAGGACATAAAGGAACTTCCAAGTGAGCTTCAGCACCAGGAGAAAATGGTTACACACACAGGGCACATGTACTATGTTCCTGACTGCTAATCCTTAGGTAAGGAATTTCCAGGGTGATGAAAAAGAGGGAGGAAGGAATTACAGCTCCTAGAGAGGGTAGTTTTAAAAAGCGAGTCAAACTGACCAGTAGTTTAATTTGTTTAGTCATACTATTAAGAATTAATTTGGGGCTCAGCGCCTGTGGCTCAAGTGGCTAAGGCGCCAGCCACATACACCTAAGGTGGCGGGTTCGAATCCCCAGCCCGGGCCCGCCAAACAACAATGATGGCTGCAACCAAAAAATGGCCAGGCGTTGTGGCGGGCACCTGTAGTCCCAGCTACTTGGGAGACTGAGGCAGGAGACTCGCTTGAGCCCAGGAGTTGGAGGTTACTGTGAGTGTGATGCCATGGCACTCTACCCAGGGGGATAGCTTGAGGATCCGTCTCAAAAAAAAAAAAAAAAAAAAAAGAATTAATTTGGAATTTTAAGAAATTTCAAAGCATGGCATGGCATTTTAATTTTTATCAAAATAAGCCTTTTTTTTTTGAGACAGAGTCTTAAGCTGTCACCCTGGGTAGAGTGCCATGGTATCACAGCTCACAGCAACCTCAAACTCTTGGGCTTAAGCAATTCTCTTGCCTCAGCCTCCCAAGTAGCTGGAACTACAGGTGTCCACCATAACACCCGGATATTTTTCTCTTACGTTGCTGGGTTCAGACCCGCCAGCCTCAGTGTATATGGCCGGTGCCCTCCCCACTGAGCCATGAGTGCCCCCAGAAGCTATGTTTTTAAAGAATTTAAAATACTATCTTAGCTCACTATTCCATTTTACAAGGTAGAGGAGGGTGGTGATCACATCTATACCAGAAATAATAAATCCTCATGTATCCCCCACTGTATAAACAATAATAAAATTAATTGATCACATTGGCATAATTCCACAAAAAACAGAGGAGTCCCCTTGGAAGGGACTACCTTGTAGGTGACAAGTTTCTACTAATTTGAGTCCTCAAATATGTTTACCCAACTCTATTCTCCACTGAATGGCTTATACTGTTCAGTCATCTCCCCGTCTAAAGCTGCAGAACTTTCTTTCCCAAAGAAATAAATACTTCCAACAACTCGTAAGAATGCAATGACTAACTGGCAGTATAACTTGTTTTCATTAAAATATATTTCCAACCTGCTATCTTATGCACTACAGTTGCATTGTGGAAAACTTTTGCCTAACATCAATCACATACATTAACAAAACATTTACTGCCCCGGCAAGTATGGGGTGGAAGGGCTCCTAACTGACACTCTCATATTTTGCCTAACCCTTTGGTTCCCTCTGCCAAGCTGGAATGAATGTTTTATCTTAATCCTAATGGATATGACAGGCATCAATTTTCACATTAGTTTCCTGTCTGATCTTTGAAGTGGAACTCCCTCGAGTTTGGAGAAGAGAAAGCACCTTTCCAGGAGGAGAACTTTGATGACATCAAAGCAGGAAAAGACTCCATAAAGCAAAACCATGACCAAGGTGGAGCACACCGAACAAGGAAAAACCACGAGCCATCCTGGTGGCACGCTTGTGGCCTTCTGGGCCTCTCTTGGAGGCCTGCAGCCAAAGGATTATATGTTCACTTATCCACACCTGAACTCCCCGTGAAGTATTTAAGAGCAAGGGCCATGCATGACCATAGGAGTTAGAAGGAAAAGGGCGGATGGCAGATGGGGAAGAACATCATACCTACCTGTCGCCTTGTTTTGCTCTAAACAGTTCTCGTATACGCTGCTATGCTTGGAGTTTCCAGGCTGTACAAACAACAAATTGTGAAACATTTATAAACATGCTACATATTCACAAACTTCTTAAAAAATACTAATAATGCTCCCAGAAGAATACAGCAGACGATTTCACTTTCTGACACAGGAAATGCCTGACAGCTATGAAAAGGAAACTGTGATTTGGGGTGAGGAGAATATACTTTTTTCATTGCTTTGGAGCAGCAGAGGTGGGTCTGATTGGGCTGGGGGTTCCTAAAGGCTGCCCGTGTCCTGTGTCCTGAGGGTTACTGCCTGTGCTTGGGAGGTCACATTCCAGGACACAATCCAAGTTTCAGCCAGAAAGTAATTTTCAAGACATCAGTATAAACACTGACCGTGTAGCCAACAACTTCTCTCTACTCTGAATTGGCAGATTGGAGCCCTACTCTACTGAGGTTTGTGCCAGACTCACTTCTCATCCTTAAGAATCTCATCCAATCAAGACTTCAATCATCCCCATCTAGATAGCTCTTTTCAACACTGGAATGGGGATTTTCTGATGCCTTTGAGAAGGGCAATGCTTTTAGGAAGACTAATCTGGCAGTACTGTGCACTGGGCTTGGGGAGATGAGACTGGGGACAGGAAAGAAGCTTTCACAATCATTGAGGCAAGTGAAGACCAGAATTGAGAAAGGTGCAGCTGAAGTGGGAAAGTTCTGGGTACATTCAAAGGATATTTTCATGCCAGAATCCTAGCTTTTCAGACTGAGTGGACATGAGGCCCAAAATGTAATAAAAACAAAAGATTGTGGCAGAGTGGCAGTGCCACTCATAAACATGAACAAATCTGGAAAGGAATCGAGTTTGGAGTCAGGGACAAAATGCTGAGTTCAACCTTGATGTAAATGAACAACGTAAGGCAATGTGGCATTCAGCTGACAAGACTGATAAGGACCGAAGACAGAGAAGAAAGAGGTAGGAAGTGTATACACAGGTGGTGCCCCAGGGGCAAGGCAAGGGCTGAGAGCAGAGCCTTGGAGAGTGCTTACCCACATGGTAAGGCAGAGCCTGGGTTTTCAGGGGAGGATATGGAAGAAAATTTGACATGAAAAGAAAAGATGCGACTTTCTTCAAAATTTAGATGAATAGATGATCATTGGCTACATACGTGATAGAGCAAATGTAGTGAAACGTTAATTGTAGAATCTACATGGCAAGGATGTGAGTGTTCACTCTATAATTCTTTCAACTACTTTGTGTTTGAAAATATTCATAATCAAATGTTAGAAAACATGAAAAAAAGAAAAGCAGCACCTAGAGACACAGAAAGAGAAGGACAAGATGGAAACCTTCTGGGAGATAACAGGGGAGGTCTCAAAAAGATGACATAGCCAACAGGTGTCAAATGCTGTAGACAGATGAAGAATATTGTGGAGTGAAATAGATTCAGCAGTTAGACCGTGGGTGACCACTGCAAAAGTAATTTCTATCAAGTTGTCCAGCAGAATTCAATCTTACAAGTACAGTGCAGCAGTGTTCTAGAAGTCCCCCTGATGAGAAGGTGGGACGTGATTACTTCTGTTGGGGAGTCCACGTTTATTTGCCTGCAGAAGGAAAAGAACTGATAGAGAACGAAGACTGAGACAAAGGTTAAAGGACAAAACAAGGGCACAGAGCTGGCAGGAGGGGACTGGATCCGGAGCCCAGGGAAAATAGTTTTGGAGACAGTTGCTAAGGAAGAGAAGCAAGGAGAAGGTAGGAAGACTTGGAAAGGGGAAAGGGTGAAGTTGAGGATAACAAGCTGGATTGCCCTAGTCTTCCCAATGAAGTGAGAAGTGAGGTCATCTGCTGAGGCTGCCATTGGAGGATTAGGGGTAAAAATAATCTAGTACAGGCTCCAACAATGATTCACTCGCTGGCCCTACATTTGAGGAAGATGGGACTTTTTCTAAATGAGCATTTGGAAATGCTCAAATTAAGCGCTCTGGTGATAAGGGCAGAATCACGTTGCTGGTTCTAATACAATAAAACATTACTTACCAAATAACACAATTTTTCACACCGTAAGGGGCAGTACGACATTTTTTCTGTGGCTTGAACTTTGATCCGCACATCTGAAACACCACCTGCAGGTGGCTGCTTCCCTGGAATTTCGTTGTAATACTCGTGATCTTCTCTCTCCTCAGCAGGGCAGTCAACGTGCACCTCCTCCTCCCTGGAAGGGGAAAAGAGAACCCGCAAGAGGTTGGGCAGGAATTCAAATGTAATAGGGGATGCAACAGGAGGAGACCATGCAAATCATACTGAAAACTCTTTATTCATGTTTTAAATTTACTGCTGTGCGTAAGTGATGTCAAACATCTGGATGGAAGCGACCAGATGGCTGAGTTGTTTCTCTCTCTCTGTAGACAAAGCAGGGCAGACCAACAAGAGTGCCTAGGGTGATGCTTTTGTGTTTACCCTTATTGATACATAATAATAATAAATAATGAACTTACTAACTACAAGGCATTTTGAATATAAGATCATAAAAATACAAAGTATTCTTGGGTATCTCCAGCATGCTTTAATTGTTCCATTTTGGAAATGTTTTGCTTAGAGAAAATTTAGATATTGTTATTTGGGTAGAGGCCTGGCCCCGTTTATTAAACCAAGATGAAAAAAACAAGAGTGCTATCGCCAGCTATCTTGTCTGCACAAATCTGAAGGAGTGTATGGGATTAATAAAGAAATATTAGGACCATATGTGGCAAGTGGGTAGATTTATGTAAATACGCAATTGTTTTTAGAATTGAAACAGGGCAAACAAACAAACAGACTTTTCTTCCCAATTGAAATTAGTAAAAAATTCTTATAAAAAAATAAATCAAGGCTTTTTGGATGAGGCAGATTCTACTGACAACCCACACAGTTTCACTGGGTTTATTACATGTCAACAAAATGCACTAAGCTGTAAGTGCCATCCTGGGAAAAGTTCAGCATCAGAGGCTTCTGGTAACCCCTTCTCCTTTGCTATCCTAGACCACCTCATAAAGAAAGCTCTCCAAACCTAGTGTTTGTTGATACACAAAGTGACAGATCAAGGGAAAATGCATTTTAAAATGCTCGAGAGGTCTGTTTCTCAGGCATGAATTGTGGGAGTCAGAGGCATCGCTGCCTTCCACACTGGGTGAGGCTGGAGAGGCCTGAAAGGGTTTGGTTTTCATTGCGGACTTGATGTGCCTTAGTGAGAACAACCAGATCCTTGGGTCACGTCCTGTTCTACTCCTGCTGCAGTTTAGCTGGAGCCAATCTATTTCCACTGCAAGCAAGCAAACTAACAAAAGTTCCTGCCATGGACATTTGAATTTTACTTGCTCTTTGTTCTTGATTTTTTTTTCTTTTTCACCAATGTGTAAGGGTTCTCGAATGGAAACAAATCTGAGAAATTTGTTGGTGTTTATTATTTTATGATTCCACTTAATTCATTCATAGCCCTGTGTAACATGAGGGAAACAGGGCTGACCCAGTCTTACTTTTAGTGTCTCCTTTAATCTTATTACAAAGCAAGAGGAAATAGCGGAATAAATAGAAATAGAGGGAAAATGTCACTATTATTTTGTACTGAAATTACGGCTACTTATAAGAACGAATTAATGAATTCTAAAATGCCACATTCATTTTAAAAATATATATAGCAAGTCAAACAATTGTAGAGCTCTTGGCTGACCTTTCGCAAGAAGTATTCAGGGAAGGGTTTTTCAAGTACTGTTTAAACCGAAGTTCAAAAGCCTGCCCTATGGTACTTATGACGTCTTGGGCCATTCCATTGCGGCACTCCAATATGTGACAGGCTGCAAGAAGACATACAAAAAAACACAGTAACTTTTCAGCAAGAGAAAATTATATAAAGTCAAAATACTTCCAGAACTCTCTTTAGTTCAGAAATGGTATAAAGAACACCTCATATGTAGCATGAACCAAAGAGAAAAGACATTCCAGGGCTATGTCTGAATATCTCAAAATACTTAAACATTCTGGTCTCAAGGCAGGTATTTGGGGCCCACGTTTTTATAAAAGTAGACAGATCTTGGCTACTAAAATGACTACTATTTAAAGCTAGCTCTTGAATTCAATACAGGAGACGATTACAGCAGCAATCTGATGGGAAAATGAGGTTTGGGGTCTTTCTTTACACAGTATGTCACAGAAGATGGAAAGAAGACTTTCCAGACCGCCCCTTCCCAAAAATGGGGAATGCGTTGCTGGCAAAGACAGAGGCTTTGGAATATCCTCCCCTCCAGCCACCCCTTGCCCTGTCATTGCTACCTTAATAAAGCAATGACATACATGGCAATCCGCATCTTCAAATTCCACTAATGAGCTATCTCCAATAAGCATCAAAATTAAGGTTTGGTGACAATGTCATTATCAGAAGATATTAGAGTTTTTATTAGATACTTTCTCTGAGAAGCAGATTCTTTCTCTGGGAAGCAGTTAGCAGTTAGTTAGTGGGAGGGGGCTAATTTTTAAATGCAAAATATCAAGTCGGGGGGTGTGGCAGGCAGCTGACAGAATACTACAATTAAACAAATTTAACAAACTTGCTGGTGCTACGTAAAACAGGAGCATGTGTTTAGGGACTATAAATTATCTCCCCACTATATGTGTATGTGTATGTGTGTATATATACATAAGAATGTTGCAGAAATTGTCAGCTATTCTCTGAGAATAGGAGAGAAAAAAGGCCATGGGTATAAGGGAGTACATGAGTGCATGGAAAATTAGATTAAATGCCAGAAAAAGTATCTTGGGTCTTGGAATTCTGAAACCAACACTGGAACACATTAGAGAAAGGGATATCTGAGGAGAGAGGAGATAGCCGTTTTTGTGAAATAGTTTAACTATGTTAACTTAGAAGAATGATTTTATGTTTTGCATTGTCTTACAAAGAATTTTGTATTTATTTCAAGTAAAAGGCCATTCATTCAAATCTGGTAAAATTGGTAGAGCTGATAACAGCTAAGTTATAATAGAATCTGTCACAATGTTTCTTAACCTTTCATTGGTAATCATCTCAAGGAATCTCTGATATTCTCATTCCTGAAGTAATTTGACTTTTCTTTAAAGGAATTGTACATGAACACTTCTAGAAGGTATATGTGTGTATACACACGTGTGTGCAATGGTGGTGTGGTGGTATTAATAAATTAAACAATACTAAGATATCAAACTTCCAAAAGAAGTATTTCTCGTTCTTATCAGGTTGTCCCTTTCAAGTACAACTTGGATCCTGAAACAGATTTAAGAGCTGATTCCAGTTTTAAAAACACAATTAAAAATATCTATTAATTTATATCTTTTCTACCAAAGGAAAATATTTGGTCTATCTTTAGACTGTTGTTTTATATTATCCTTATTTTTTCCCCTACCATAGCTTAACACAGTGACCAACCCATGGAAGGTGCTCTAAAAATATTTGTTGAATGAGTAAATACTAACTTCCCTGAATCATATTAATATTTCTACTGTATAAAATTGTCTTTTTTTTTTTTGAAGTGAGATCTGCAGTGAGTCCCTACACTGGGTCACATTCTTACAGCCATGACTAATATAAATTATTGCTTTGATCATTTGTGGACAAAGTCTCCTTCCTAATCAGGCCTCATTTCCTTGGACCTACAAAGTGCCTTGGAGATGCACTCTCCAACTCTCCAATTGAGCCAAGAGAAGTTGTGCTACATTATAAGAAAAGGTAATTCACTTGAATTCTTTTGTTTTTAATCTCATCAATTCCTAGTCCAATTAAAAATTAAGTCAAAATCAGAAATCATGTCAAAATGGAGGCAAACATTTTTGTAATTTTATTTTTTCTTAGGGTCAAGGAGACATTGAGAGATAAAGATGGGGAAGATAATATGAAAGAGGCAGGAGACTCAAGCATGCATCAATAAACCGTACTTCCAATAGAGGGATAAGAGAAAAGGGACATTTAAAAGAACTCTGAAAAGATTCACATCTGAGTTCAAGTTCCAGTTATGCCATCATCTATGTGACCCTGAAAGAGTCCAGGTAAATGGGCACATAGGGGTGAATGAATCAACCAAACCCATCAACCAGTTTCTACCACTTTTAGCATACTTCTAAGATGTTTTATTTAGCTCCGCTTTTCTAATTCTATTACTTTGACTTCTTGGTCTTCTTCATGGGCCATGTTACTTTCTCTCTCTCTCTCTTTTTTTCTTTTTTAAAGAGACAGAGTCTCCCTAGTTGCCCAACCTGAACCCAAACTCAAACTACTGACCTCAAGCGATCATCTTGCCTCAGGCTTGGGACTACAGATACCTGGCTCATTTTTCTACTTTTAGCAGAGCCAGGATCTTGCCCTTGCTCAGGCTGGTCTCAGACTCAAGGAATCCTCCTGCCTCGGCCTCCCAGAGTGCTAAGATTACGGGTGTAAGCCACCATGCCCGGTTTGAGAAGATTAAACAGAAAGAGAAGAAAAAAACAGTGCTGCCTGTCTCTCCAGGGAGGAAGCAACACTGGACAAACAGGCTAACACTGTGCAGATGTTCTGCTCAGTCTCACCACCTTCAAGAAACATTCGCGATAATTCTATTGTTGACACTCACAGATACACTGCTCTGTGCAAATGGTCTTCTTTAGTATATGTGCTGCCAAAGTGAGCACTGGAAATGGTCTTTTTTAGGTTGGTTATGGCCCAGGATCGAGGTGAGCCTTGAATCACATATAAATATACTCCTTTCCCAGCATTAGACCCATCTCCAAAATCTCAGCCAAGAATTTCCCAATCTTCAGCTAACGGGAAGGAAGAAAAGCAACTACCTGTACACCTCATTCCAAAGAAGAGTGTGAGTTTTCAGTGATATGATAACTCTGCCATCGAGGCTGGAACTTTTCTTTCCAGGTCTGGAATCAGATGCAGATCTGGGTTCTTTTCATCCCACCTCATAGCCAGTTATACCCCTGGGTATCAGACACTATGTTAAGCAAGATTTAAATGAATCTGAGATTCATACGTCTTTCGTCTTTTTAATTTGAGTCTTTTTAATTTTCTAACTGGGTGTTCATCAATAATAGGATGAGAACTATTCCTAAAGGATTCGAACCCACCAACTCTGGTGTATGTGGCTGGCACTTTAGCCACTTGAGCTACAGGCACTGAAGGAGAACTATTCCTTTCTTTATTCACTTTATATTTGTGTTAAACAGACCGTTTTTTTTGTTTTTTGCTTTTGTTAGAAAACTAGAAATTCGAAGTTCAGGTTCTCAGGTCTACCACCAGGTGGTGCTGTGGGATCAAAGCAGAGCATCCTCCACAGTCCAGGAAGAAACCAGCTCCCAGAAGCAAGCCAGCAGTCAGTCCTAAGTTAACTAATGCCACCAGGTAGTAAGTAGAGCGTGTACTTTATAATCATAAACATAAATATAAGTAAGTGGATTCTTTTAAATTAATTTATAGAGTTAAAAAAAAACTGTTCAGAAACTCAGAACCCTGGCCTTCCTGTATCCAGGTGGTTCAGGTTAACAGTGACCCCTTAACAGACTAGAAGAATCAGAGAAAATAGTCAAATCTTCTGGACTGCTTGCTATACATCTGGAGTAAGAGAATACGGATTTCCTCACTACAGCAATTACAGAGGAGATAGGCTGTATTAGTCACTAAGCAAACTCAAAACACTCTTTACTGGAACCTACCTTTTCTAGAGAAAAGGCTTTTTATAAAATGAATTGGGACCTAGCCAAGAAAAGTGCCCTGATTTGAATGCAGTAATGCTGAAAGTAAATCAGGCACACTTGAGACAGAGAGAACACTCAGGATTATCAGCATGGAGCCTGGTCTCCTCTACCCGTCTCTCCTGATAGCCAAACCCCCCTCATCCCTACTTGAGGGATTTAACCATCCTTTACAAGCCCACAGAAATTGTGCTTTCCAGGGTACCATTGGACTGAATGGCATTTCTCACCTTCATTCCCCTTAACTCCTTTCAGTATGTACTATCTGAGATGTCTCCTCCAGGAGAAAACTTTATCTTTATCCTTCTTAGGTAATACTTATCTCCTGATTTCCCCCTTTCCTCTTGACTGTCCAGGAGAAGCCACTCCCTGAAGTCCTTAGCCCTCTTCTTTCTGGTTCTGCTAAGAAGCTGCAGTTTTTCCAAGCCTGCACTTGTAGGCCCATAGCCTGCCTCCCTTTCCCCTTCTCCCTCTCACTCTCTCAGACTCTCTCTCCTGTCTGCCATTTTCCCCTGGATGAACCAAAATCATTAGGTAATTCTATAACATTCTCTTTCTGGTTTCACTATTTTTAAATTAGATTTAGAACTTTTTTTCTTTTTATAACTGTAATAAATATTCATTGTAAGAATTCTAGATCAATAAAAAAGCACCAAGAAGAAATAAAAATTACATAAAATCTCCACTATGAACATTTTGGCATGTGTTTTAATGTTTTTTTCTCTGTATATCTACCTCATTCCCAACAAAATTATCTAGAATCATACTATACACCAGGGCTGGAGAAACTGGGACCTTAGGGCCACAAGTGGCTTGAGTGCAGCCTTTTTGTCTGAATCCAAATTTTAATAAAGGGATTAGTTCTGTGAAGTTGGGATTGGGGCTAGGGGTCACACTTGGGGATGTGTGCCACACATGTGTGCCACACGTGTGGCCTTGAGGCTGAAATGCTTCATAATCGCTATTTGTGCTTAATAGCTTTGTGACTATTTTCCTGATGTTACTAATTCTTCTACAACACTAACTTTAACAGTTGCATAATAGTGCACTCTATGGATTCACTTACATAAGTTGGTATTTGTGAATATTGGATTTATTGGTGCTATTATATAAATGATATATGATCTATACTGCTTAATCTCTGTGCATGTCCCAATTATTTCTCAGAAGTAAAATTGCTGGTTCAAAGGCATTTCTATTTTTATGACTTTCAATACAAATTATCAAACTGCTTTCCAAAATATTTGAATCTATGCTCTTACCAGGAGTGTTCAAGAGAAACCTACGACTCCAGACTACATTTTATCTTTTTTCACGTTTGAAATGTGAAGACAAAATATACTGTTTCATTATAATTTGCATGTCTTTGCTAGTGAGGCTAAACTTGTTTTATTTTTCAAATGTTTCCTGGTGCCTGTAATGTTCTTTTCTAAAAGTGTGTTCAGAACCTGGAATCAGTCTACCCACCTACTGGATGGGTAACCTTAGGAAAACCACCTTACATTCCAGTATCTTCTTCTATAAAAAAGAAATCATATCATTACCTACCCCGTAGGTTGTTGTGTTACAGACAGAGTACCCCTGGCAATGACTGGCATATGGGGAGTGTGCAGTAAATGGCAGCTATTTTTCCTTGCCCTATTTTTCTATTGGACCATTTGCCTTTTTTCTGTTTATAAAATACTTGTTCCTTTAGTGGCAATATCATTCCAAATCACACAGGGAAATAATAATAACTACCATACAGGGTACTTACTATAAGCCAAGCACTGAGATATTTATGTTACATACAATATCTCATTAAATCCTCAGGAACATCTGATTCCTATTTCTTGAACAACTCTCACATCTAAATAGTCATCAATACTAGTAGTTCACAAATTTGGTCCGAACTGTCCCTTCGTCCTCTAATGTAATTTAAAACATTAACACCTCCACTCAGGACTAGTAAGATGTCTTCTGACTTATACTCCACAATTCCAGATTGCTTTTCTGCCATCCAATATCACTTTTACAGACACTATGGCCAAAAACCTATCATTTTATCATTTCAGCAGAATGACAGAAGCCAAAATAATTTTAATAAGGCTCAAAATCTTCGATGGCTCCCAATGACCTACTGGCCAGCATTCAAAGCCCTCCACGATCTGTTTCTGGCCTCTCTTTTTGGCCATGACTCTTCTACTTCTACGCTTCCCCTTCCCTGCAACCCCACATTTCCACGACACTCGCACATCCAAATGCAGCACTCAGCTCTGATTACACTGCTCTTCCCCCGTGCCTTTAGTCACTCATCCCACACTTCCTAACTGAGGTCTCTTCTCCAGGCACCCCTCCTTCTCTGTGCACATCTGATGGGTTACGTTTGTCCCTCCCACAAAATGATGAGTCCATGGCATTACCTCTTGGTCAGTACTTTGAGTTGGGGGTCTCAGGTGAGGGGTAAAGATTTGGGTTACGTTTGTCCCTCCCACAAAATGATGAGTCCATAGCATTACCTCTTGGTGAGTCCTTTGAGTTGGGGGGTCTCAGGTGAGGGGTAAAGATTTAACACCAGAGAGGTGTGCAATCTAGGGTAATATTGAGAACACAGTGGCTTCTCACAGAGATTATCATAACCAAGATAAAAAAGAGAAGGGACAGGAAAAAGAGGAGTAAGTGGTGAGGAGATGCTAACTTTCCAATACCCTGTTTCTAAGTTACCTGTTTACTCGGATAGGCCCATTTTCCTGAAGATGAGATGATGGATTAAAGATGGTTACTCATTCCATATGTTATCTCAGTTATTCGTCCCAGCACCACCAGGAAGTACATGTTATTATTCCCACTTAAAAGATAAAGACACTGAGGTTTGTAGATGTGAAACAATCTGCCTAATGTCACACAGTCAGATGGTGGAAGAATCATGATCCAACCCAGTCTTTCTTGACTCCTGCCCTGATCTTATTTTCTACACACAGGCTGATGACTAAAGAAAAACAGACTCTGAAAGCTCCATTTGGACTGTTTCTATCCCACCAATCCCCTCATGACCTCAGTTCTCATGAGTGCCTTCCCGAAATCCCCAGGCCAGGACACCCATGAATTCCTACTAGCAGCTCGGCTCTGACAAACTACTCAGGTACAAGAACATGGTGCATAATTTTCTCTGCCTCTCCTGTTAAGGAAGAGATTTGCAAGCACATGGATCCCTTCTTGTCCATTTCCCAACCACATTAATCTTTGAACTCATCACCGTTTATCCTCCAGAGGTAGTCAGTCACTGATGGCTAAGTCACTAAACATCGAGATTTCCTGATGTATTTTTTTTCTTCCTTTTACCTTGCACCCCAAAGAGTAAGCAGTTATGCGTCAGGGAAATCCAAGCAGGGATAAAAGAAGTTGCTCTTTTCTGGTATCCTTTGTTGTGCTGTGTTCCCACACCAGCTCTGCACCTTCGCCAGTTCCTGTCTCTTATACCCACTCTTTGGTCGTTATCCATTCCTCATTCTTCAGTTTAGACTGCGTTGACTTTAAGAGCATTTCATAGTGCTTGTCTCCCTCTCCGGCCCTTCCATCTTATTGCATCTTCTCTTGGCAAGCATGCACGGGGCATCTACTACGCGCCCGGCTCTGTGCCAGCAGCTGCTCCTCATCATTTCATTCCTGACAATCACAATAGCTTCCAAATGGAGCTCCTCCCTCAAGTTTCTCCAAGAATCTGTCTACTATATCCTGCTGCCAAATCATTGCCTGAACTCTGCTTTTTTGAATAGTACTCTCCACTCGTTTGCCCACAGGATCAAGTCCCTACTTATTCGCTCTCCACTGCCTGCCTTCTAGATGCTTTTAGACCTTTTCCTTCCTCCATGTACATTGTACAGTGTGTGCTATTCATTTCCTCCCCACATGCCATGTGCACATCCATCTCCACGTCTTACACAGAATTTCCAAATCCCACTCTATGTTCGCTTAATGAATATTCTGGGGCAAACTCCATACCTGGGGTGGCAGAGGATGCTGCCCACCCAGCGGCTTCTAGTTAAGGAGAAGAACCAACCTAACATCCCTAAGAGACATCTGAATGTCCCAGAGTTAGGAATGAGAAGCGATACTAAGCATATCTAGGGAGGTCTAAACACGCAAGCAACCTCAAGCCCATGACCCAAAGTGCGACTGGGAGACGAGTTTCCTAGGAAACCTTGCTAAATCCTGGGACCAGAACTCCAGGCAGCTCATTCTTCCATTCCCTCTGTGGGTCAACAAAATAGTTTTTGAGCATCTCCTATGTGCTAGCCACTGTGATGAGGGCGGAGAGGACAACAGTGAATGAGAGAAACAGGTGCCTGCACTCATGGAACTTTTAGCCTAGTAGAAAGGACATACTAAACACATCAACAAATGCAAGGAGTAAATAAGATACTAAAAATGTGGAATAGGTGTTAGTGAGAGAAGAGAAATAAAAGCGTTATGAGGGGAGCAGAACGGGATATGCTCCTGGAAATAGGAGGTGCTATCAGTCACAGAATGGGTCTCTGAAGAAGAGATATTTAAGCTGAAATCCAAAACATGAAAAGAAGCCAGATGTTCAGAGTGACATTCCAGGTTCTTGAACACCAAGCGCACAGGCTCAACACCCCACCCCTACCCCCACCCCACCCCCCACACACACAGGCCAAGGCCAATGCAGGTCAAGAACTTCACTCCTTTTGAGTCTTCTGTGTCTACTAGGGATGTGGCAGCCAGCACCTTCTACCACGACCAAAACAGCTTCTCTTTTGAGTATACAAACAAATAAGCCTTTGGTTTGTGGATCTCTCCAATGATTTAAATCCCACCCTATATATTTTTTCTACTTTGCTCTGCTATTTATTTTCAACATTTCTAGAATCCAATATAGCACTCTAGTGATAGTCACCACTCTGCATATTGAAAATCACTCTTCGTTGCTTTTGTATCAGCTCTTAAGAAAACTAGAAGTTGTTTTCCATACCTCGTTGATTAACTGGATCTTTAGCTACGTAGGCAACATAGTCTGTGGTATCCTACAAAAAAGGGAAAATGATTGCATTTAAAATGAATAAATTGCACTGTTGAAAGAAAAGAGCACGCTTAGGACACAATATGGAGGCAAGAACTTGAATATGAATGTGTATATTTAAAAAGAAAAGGAAAGCATTGTTAAAGGAGATGTCAACAAACGTATGCTATAAAGCTTCACAGGTGTACAGTCCACAGTCTCTTCCCCTGGGGGAAAGAAACTGAAGATTAGAAATTTAGAGGCAGAGTATGTCCCTAAAGAAAAAAAGAGAATGTAGATAGGAAATATATTAGGATACATTCTTTTGTTGTTGTTGCTGTGGTTGCAGCAGCTGTCATTGTTGCTTTAGCTGGCCTGGGCTGGGTTAGAACCCGCCAGCCTCCGCGTCTGTGGCCACTGAGCTACGGGAGCCACCCAGGACATATTCTTTAAAAATAGCTACGGACTACCACTCTTCCGGTGTAAAAAATTGAAGTATCAGGGATTATACAATCACAAGTATCATAAACTAGGATTTGGCATCTTGATTTCTGTCCAAACAGACACACTATGTACATCAGAAAATAAGGTGACTAGAGAGACACTTTGGGATTTGCAGTTATTAGCTTGCTTTAAGAAATAACGAAACCAAAAATACAAGGCATTTCTTTGATCAATATATAGAAAGGAAAAGGCTTTTTTTTTTTTT